GAATAGAATAGAATAGAATAGAATAGAATAGAATAGAATAGAATAGAATAGAATATTATGGAATGGAATGGAATAAAATGGAATAAAATAGAATAGAATAGAATAGAATAGAATAGAATAGAATAGAATAGAATAGAATAGAATAGAATAGAATAAAGAATGGGAATGAAACAGAATAGGAATGGAATGGAATGGAATAAAATGGAATGGAATAGAATAGATATTGGAATATAGAATAGAATAGAATAGAATAGAATAGAATAGAATAGAATAGAATGTTATGGAATGGAATGGAATAAAATGGAATGGAATAGAATAGAATAGAATAGAATAGAATAATAGGAATAGAATAGAATAGAATAGAATAGAATAGAATAGAATAGAATAGAATAGAATAGAATAGAATAATAGGAATAGAATAGAATAGAATAGAATAGAATAATAGGAATAGAACAGAATAGAATAGAATAGAATAGAATAGAATAGAATAGAATAGAATAGAATAGAAACTCATCAAGGAGAGAAGCAACCTAGAACTAAGGAGAAACTTCCTGACAGTGAGAACAATTAACCAGGGGAACAACCTGCCTCCAGAAGCTGTGAATGCTCCAACACTGGAAGTTTTTAAGAAGAGACTGGACAGCCATTTGTCCGAAATGGAATAGAGTTTCCTGCCTGAGCAGGGGGTTGGACTAGATGACCTCCAAGGTCCCTTCCCACTCTGTTATTGTTATTGCTATTATTATTTTCCTGAGTTTGACTCTCTGAATGAAAAGAGAAGACGGACGAGGAAATAAAATTTTGCTCTCCTTCAGCAGCTTATTACAGGTTTATAGAAGCCAGCGAAAAAATTCCGCCGTTGCGTAAGTGTTTCGGCCGGGCAGGATCCTTCCCTGATTATTACCTGCCACAACCAGTTGCCAAGAAAGAGGATGAGGGATGTCTTCAGCTGGGATCAGAAGTCCCCACGGGAGCTGGGCCATTGACGTGAGGCTCTGCCCCTCTCCTTAAGGGCCTGCTGGCTGGCAGATTGTGCGAGGGGAAACACAGCGCGGAGAAACGGGA